CAACCTCTATACAACGAAAGGAGACTGCGACCACACAAAAGGCCACACCATCTTGGTCTTCATACCTGCGTTTATATCCAAATTTCATATAATGCAAAGTATTCGTTGAGCTTACTTTTATTTCGAGTGAAAGTGTTTAGTGAAGAGATTCCAACGTCGATCCCATGAGTTTTCGTGACCCATTAGCTTGAATATGACTGCAATGATGATACCCTGCTTTGATTATGTCCATCATACGACGGACGAAGGCCTATAACGTTTTTAATGGATTCGAAGAAGATTTCCTTGGAAACAGCATAAACAAGAATATTCCAGCAAGGCCAATCGACAGCTAATCAAGAAAAATCCCCCATCGTCTTCCGGTTGGATCTACTTTCTAATTCCTTTTACATACCATTACATTACAAACGAGAGTAAGCTCAACAATTATAAACCAAGAGGTTCTTTGGAATCCAACTTTTTTTCTCAATATTCCTTGCTGGTACCCAAATTTAGTCATACTTTGGACGGCAGGCTAGAACTCCTATAAACTATTCCGTTTGTTTCGACAAGTAGGACCTCTTCATCCTCTGTTGCTGATGTTCTCCAGCTTGTTTACAGAATAAATACTAAATTTATCAATAACGCCTTGTCACGAGCCTTGTGATTGTTTATTTATGGTTTGACTTCTCTTTTGCAACTTAACTGGGGGGACAGGGCCTAGGACACATATAGTCTAGTGCCGTCTACCATACAATTTATGATGAATTCTAGGATCGGATTGCTGACTTGGCACACCCCCAAACATTTCGCCGGCATCGTCAGTGAATTGCTCCATTCTTAGCAGAGAGTTAAACCTTTTAAGTGGCAGGGTCACACCATCTTGGTTTTACCATCTATGATTTTGATTATTTGTTCATATAATTAACTATCAACACGTTATTTATGTCTATTTCTTGCTCTACCTATCTCTCCTGCCGTAATTAACTCCACTATGGATGGATCCGTATGCAGATCAAAAGCAGATGGATTCCCATTTTGTTGCGCCAAGCAGTTGTGTAGAAGATCCTTGTAAGCGTACCACTGCAGGCGACCTTCATTCAAATCTGGAAGCTCCATCGGCTGATGGCATCGCGGCTTGTAATGCTGGCCTCTTATCAGATGTGCCCCCTAAGGCTTGGAGACCTGTTGCTTGCGAATCGTCACGCCCTATAGACACTCTTGCACAACTGAACCGCCAGGAGCCGCTAGTGAAGGGTAAGCAATCGGGAAATATTTTGAAGACATTTAGTCATTTACGAGACAAGATCACCAAGGAATTGGTTTGCATAACTCCATTAATCTCTATGAGATGCAGGATCCGGGGCGTGACGGGGTTGCTGGGTGCATATAGAGATGCAAGGGTCATGAGGTAATGGGGGTTGTTCGAGGTATTGCGAAGGCTGAGAAAATTTAATATACGCACGATAACGTTAACTACTATAATTATTGGGGAAACTTTCATTTCGCAGGAAAGTGCGTGAAGAAGAGATTCGAATGTCGATCTCATCAGGAGAGAACGGCAGAGTCCCGTTGTACGGCAGTCATTTGGCTTTAATACGACGTTCAGGTTGACGCAGTCCACCAGCCCTCCCTCGTTTTGGATGAAAACGAATTAAATTTTTTAAATGTGTATTTCTCATAATATTGCTCCTATATGTTGTTTATTCGGTAGACGTTTAATTCTATCGACGTCTAACAATGGGGAACCTGATCAGGTATAGTGTGATTTGGCTAAAACAAGGATCAAGGAAAGGATTAACAGATAACACGAACTAATTAGAACCCAAACCGGGCCTAGGCAATTGCTTTTTGAAGTGGTGAGTGATGTGCATTTCCTTAAGTTACAAGATATGGCTGACGGGTTAGGAGAGGCCATGGACAAAATGATTCGGCGGACACATGATAATAAGCTCCGGAACTTAGGAATTATAATAGGATTGAGAAATTTTGCGCCTAAGGTAAGTCGTAGCAACTATGATTGTAATAGACTGGGGAAGGATAAGGTAATCAATTAATCCAATATGACTATAGGGGATAGTGAGGAACATTTATTGGAAAGAGGATTGAATTTTGCTCTTACAAATGAGGTCAACCATTCTCTGGACATACTTGTTGAATTAATTAGCTTATCTGATAGACTGTCCGAGGAGGTAAATAATAGCATTGAACTGGAGATGATCTCCCATTTTGACCATATAATCCAGCCGAAGAAAGCTTGTGCTCTTAGTAAGGTTTCTAGATATTTATCTAGGAATAATCGAATCGTTATGAAAGCTGACAATAGTGGAGCAGTGATAGTCATGGGTAGGTCAAGTTATATATTTTTAAAATGCTAGTTCATTCAAATGATAATAGCACGTATATGCCCTTAATGAGATATCTAGAGTAATGGTGAAATGGAGAAGTGAAAAATGAGTTCACTACTCCAGATATGCAAGGACTCTCACGACTTACAATCTCCCTAGGGCTCACAAGGAGAGTGTTCATTTAAGATTAATTGTAAATAATAAAGGAAGTTTGATCCATCAAATCTCACGCCTTTTATGCATGAGATGGTGTTGAGCCATCATTCAAAAGAACGCGACTCAACTTGTCTGCTCAGTGATGATTCTAATTTCACTCACACTCGTCCAACATGTTAGATTAAGCTCATCAACCACCAGACATACGAAAGTACGCAGCCCCAGTCATGCCTTTCCTTGGGTGATTAAATGTTAATGACACTAGACTTAGCGGTTATGACCGGTGGTACCGTACTTGACTTACACACAAGCCTA